CTTCAGGACTGCTGCCCTCGTCCATTCATCCCCCGTCCTTCCTGGTGTCTGTTGCCTTTTGGTTGCCTTGAACCAGACTCTTTGGGGCCCTGTGTCTTGTGTTTGTGCACCACCCACCGCCATAGGGCCCTAAGTGTGCCTCTGAAATACAAATACACCCACTCTCTTCCTATTTGTGACGTTGGCCCCAGTCCTGCAAGTATCGGGGGGTAGCCGTGTTTGTCTGTATCCACAGAAACAACAAGGAGTCCGGTGGCACTTCAAAGACTAACAGATTTATTTGGGCATAAGCGTTTGTGAGGTAAAAACCTCCCTTCAGATGCAACACAAATGTGCGCACGTCCTGCAAATGTGCCCATGCTTACCTTTAAGCGCGAGTAGTCCCAATGACTACTTAGGGGGAAAGCAAGTCAAATAGGGCAATCTTAGTTTTGTGTCTTGACAAGCAGAATATAATTGTTCTTCCATTGCCTGCGAGATTAACGGGCTCCATGACTGTGGCTTGAACGGAGGGCTAGAAGTTCCATTCCCAGTGCAGCATTGGACCATTCCCTTAGCCTCGGTTTCCCCAGCTGTAAAATGGGAGAATATTTGCTGCCATCGCAGGAGTGCTGCAATCTTTACAAAGTATTACCTCGGCGTTAAATATTATCAATGCGGTGCCAATGCTTTCTGTTTCCGCATGCCATTGGAATTGTAGAGTTCTCTCAGCATAATTACTGAAATCAGACACAAGTACATGTGCCCATCTCTATATAGCCCTTTAGCATCCTAGGGGATCATCTGCACCTTTGTTTTATTTATTTCTTTAGCTGTCTATTTGTACAACTGTGTAAAAGAGCACCTATCACAGGCTTTGAGCTCCATCGTTAGTCCTGGACATAAACAAAATCTAACTGAGCCTTATTTTATGGAGGACCTGGAATTACTTGTCTAGCAAAACCTACCTCATCCCTTTGGCTGCACGTTTCTCTCAGACACGGTGGTGGTGATTGATACTTGCTAGGGACTTGAGTAGAAATTGTTGGTGGATCAAAAACATGTTTGAAAATATGCATTCTTTCCACCCCCACGCAACCGTTCTCGATTTTCACGCTTTCAACTTTAAAAATAATGTAATGTGGGGGAGGCCAGGGCAGCATATATTTTCTTTCCTGGGTGTTGCTTCCTACATTCTTTGAGCATTCTCTTTTATAAGCTTTCTCTCCTCCTTCCTGATTCATTCACTATGTGTCAGTCCAGTGTTTGTGTTGACTTTAAAGCTTGACTTCAGTAGGCAGTAGCTGAGTAAAAGGAGGTAACTTCTGTTCACACACTAACACCTTGGTGTGCAGCAGGAGGAGAAAGGAAATACAGGAAGAGTAGAATTACTGGGTAAGGTTTTGATAACTTTCTCTGTTTACTGGCATCAGGTGACTTGTTACTTAAGAGGGAGTTGCAGACCTATCAAAAACTAAGCAGAACTACCTGTTGATTGAAAAACAAGCTATACAAAATGAGTTTTGAAAGGGATGCTGTTTAGATGGGTCCCATCCACCACTTGAGCTACTGACTTGTTTGGAGGTGTTTGAAAAGCCTGTCATCCTGTCCGTTTCTCTCATTCAGACACTTCAGAACACAATGCTATAAACTGAGCACTCAGGAGCAACTCTCTAATAGCAGACGAGGGTGGAAGAGCAGTGGGGAGGAAACACTTCTGATATCAAATGTTCAAAGGGTTGCTGTAAACGACAGTGAGGAAAAGCATGGTGGGAAAACCAACCGTTTTCTCCATTAGGCCAGTTTTAGTCCATCCCTGTCCATCTGCCCCCCAAAAATCCCATCCAGACTGACTTAGTACCAGTTTAATGCCGTTCAGATCAAAGGGGTGATATAATGGATGGTGAGAGTGGGGTTTCGACCGGAAGCCACACAAACATGAGCTTGTTGGGAAAGCTTTTGAAGGCAGGCTAGATGTACGCTCTCATTTTACTCACTGGAACCATGGCTCTCAAACAAAACCTTCACGCGTATGGAAGGATTTTGCTGCCAAAGGATATGGAAATCAGCTGATTCTCAGCTGCCTTTCTTTCCCCACATAGCATGGTGCTGTCAAGTCCCCCACTGCAAATATGGCCATGCTGGAATCTGCTGGAAGGAAATATTTCTGTATCCTGTATAATGCCTTTAACCTGTTAATAAGCAGTTCCCTACATGCATTGTGTGTGTCATTCTTTTCCCCCACCTAATGTCCCTGAAAATCAAATGTCCTATAAAGGCATCGTGGTATATTTGCTTGACAGTACTTAGCCCTGACATCACTTTACAAATATTCATTGGCAAATCCTTGCAACACTCCAGAAGGGTGGGTAGGTATGATCTGTATGGAAATGGAGTATAATTCTAATGTAAATGCTCCTGTGCGCACATGGCAGCGTTGGGGAAATGTTCAGTTACGTGATGTTTCTAGGTACTGATTTGGGGTAAGCTCCGCTCAACAATACTAGAGTCTAGCTGCCAGCCAGTAGCAGTGGAGAGTACCAGGCTTATGAAACACTTGACACCTCAGCTGGAAGCTGAGCCATCCCAGCAGGGGAAGGCAAACAGTTGCAAAGTGGCTTTGAATAGTAACTACTGGGTCAGGTGCAGTGGCAGCTCTGTTGACATTAGAATTGAAGGACAAGGGATACTGTAGAACATTAGTGATTGCGTCTCTGACACCTCAGAATTCATATGTCATCTGAAGAACAGTAGCCTGTATTCCAGTGAGATCTCACAGGGCGTGAAGGAATTGCAGAGCTGGTAGCAGGGTAGTGGAGTTGGCACTTTAAGTGGTGAAAGTGCCGTTGTTATGCGTGGCCTTTGGTGAAGATTCTTGGTATCCAGTGATGATAGGTCATATATAATCTGCCCTTGCAGGGGAAGCAGAGTGAATAATCTCCTAGGCGCCTCCCATCTCTAGCCGGGGTGACCCAACATGTTTTTTCGATCAATTTTTTTTACATGGTCTTTGCATCTGTGAGCTAATCCAGTCTGTGCCTTCGTTTTGCATGCTGGACAATAGCTGTAATCCTGAAACTTTATTTTTTGTTCCTCTTGCAGAGTATAATTCTAAGAAGAAAAGGAAAGTAGCGGAGATTTATCAGGCCCTGAACAGCGATCCCATTGATGTGGCTGCACTCAGACGAATGGCGATCAGTGAAGGGGGTCTCCTGACAGATGAGATTCGTTGCAAAGTATGGCCAAAGCTTCTCAACGTGAAGACGGATGATCTGCCTCCTGCTCCAGGTACAGAGAAGCCCTTTCTTTGCTGCTTTGGGAAAAACTCTAGTGATCTTTGTACATACATAGGGCTTGAATTGGGCTGTTTTTAACTTGCGTTTTCTTCATGTAAATTGAGATGCCTTTTCCATTGCGCTTGCTTGAGAATCATACTTGTGGCGCAGAACGATTCCGTGGTTTCACCTGCGTTACATATTTAATGATATGAATAGCAGATCCAGGAATGACCTGAATTTTTTATTTTTCCATTGCACTGTAAGAGCCCTTTTACTGGTGGGCCACATTGATTGAAGTAAGCGTGTTTGGAACACAGCTGTTGCGGTCTGGTGTAATTTGCTTGCAAAATGCACGTTAACTAGTAGCAAAAAGCTGCTATGTTGCAAACGTATCTAGTTTAATTACCTTTATCGTGAATGGGAGCTTGGCTTTATTGAATACTAAATGGACCTTCCTGTCCTAGGCATGGGTGAATCAGTGGCCAAATTACTGGAAATTGAAGCTTGTACATAGAATAAGTCACATCCGAGGCAGGGAAAATTTGCTTGATACGCAGACCTGGAGGAGTTCCATATGCAGTAGTTTTTACTTGCGCAGCCCCCAGAGTGTAAGATGGGTTTTTGTGAGCAGAAGTATCTGTTCAAAAGGGTGCATTCCTGGTTGTCCTGGAGTAGCTAGGGTTGTATTAAAAATGCAGAGCTGCAGGAGACCGGGGACTAATGTTCAGCTCCATACAGCTCCATACGTGGCTTATGGCACGGTAATGATTTCTTCCACTTACGTGTTTTAAATATCTTAGCTACCCATCCTTAATTTCACTCAATTTCTATTTATTAAACTGTGTGGTGTTGCCTCTACCCCTATGTAATGTCTTAAAGCTATATTCTGCCTTACTCCAGTGGTATGGTGATGGGGCAAAGATTTATGACAAAGGAAAGATGATGATGTAAGGATCTTAAAATGATGTTTGTACCAAAGAAATTCGTGCCCTGTTTTCTGGCACTGGCATGTCATAAATTGGTATTGACAGTGCCAGAATGTATAGCAATACTGGGCTCATGTGTAACAAGTGAAAATGGGGATCTAAAATTGGGAACTTGATCAGTTTGGGGCCTAAATTTCATGCCCTTGACTTGTGCAGGGTCCTTCTCTGAACCAGCTCCCTCTAATGCACTCTGTATGCTACTCAGTGCCCCGGGTGGGTTTGTAATGCTCTTCTTTCTCCATCAGGAAAGGAGCTGCGGGAGGACAATGAAGACTACCAGCAGGTGTTACTGGATGTGAGGCGATCCCTGCGCCGCTTCCCACCCGGTGAGATGGTCTTCCTGTTTATAGCAGGGAAGCTCCATGTGCACCAGGAGCTCCCTGTCCCCACACCTCCATGTGATGCATCTCACTTCAGGGGGCACAGTAGATCTGCAGGAGCAGCACTCCAGGGGCCCATAGAAATGGAGTCTTCTGGAAAGGCCTTTCCGACCTGTTTGCAGCAACACCCATTTCAGATATGGTTGCAGGCTTGCACTGCAGCTGTTTTTCAGCATATTCTTTCCACACTAAATTCTCGCCCTTAACTTGCTGACTCATTCTGCCAGCCCATCTGGTACAGTTCAAACTCGCCCTGTATCTAGAGAGGCCTGACTCCAGATATAGCCATCCCTGGCCGTTCTGCGGCTGTTCATAGGATGCGACAGACTCGTGTACGGCGTTTGAGGGGTTTACCATTTTCCTACATGTGTCTTGGGCTGAAACATGTCTGGGTTTGGAGCCTGAGTTCACGAATGATTTACGTGGATTTGGGTTTTTTTAATCCTTGCTAAAGCGGGTTCCTTCCAGTGACTGTCATGCACCAACCTAGAACAGCTCTCAATGTTTAATAACAAAACCTTGCCTTTGCTTAGTTCATACGGTTGGTTGGTGCTTGGTGCTATTTCTAGACCCTTTTACACTAGCAGTTACCTGACTTTGCAGAGCAGCTGTTTGTTGCTCCTGGGCAGAAACTGCTTTTCACGGCTTGCTTTTTTTCCTTTGTATAAACAGTCAGTATATTCAGATCCTCAGTGTGTAGTAGATACCATGCAGATCCCTGTAGCTCGAGGTTCTGCTAACACCATATTGCTTCTGAATGGCCATATTCTGACAATGCTTAGAATTCATAATAGACCAAAAAAAGATCTTTGTGTTGTCCTTGGGATTTTGTGAAGCTTGTTCTGCCGGGGGGCACTGTATCTACTTAAACGGGTCCTGGCAAAAGGTGGATATGGTTTTCTCTACACATGGCGTTCTGTTCCAAAGATGCTTTCTGTCAGTGGGCAGAAGAACCCTGTCTAGAGATGGGCAGTGCAGTGGTTTCCGTGAGTTTTACAAACTCAGCACAGTTTCCATGAAAGGGGGTTAGTTTAATTAGGACATCTGGAATATTCAAAATAATTAAAATCCTCAGCTCTTACAGGCATGGAGTGGAATTTAGCCTTCAAGATGTTTCACAAATACTAGTAAATCCTCCTCAGCCTTGCAAAGTGAATATTAATAGCCAGGAGTTGCTGGTTTCTAGTCCCATGCTCAGACCACGGCACCATGCCCCACGCTCAGATAGGGTTGGTTGACAGTTGTCAGGACATTGAGATTGTGGCCGTCTCTGCATGGCACAGCTGATTAGACTGCTCCTGGGATTCTGTGGGTTGACTGACACAGTACGTGGCAGGTGCCTTGTCAGGTCTCTGACTCAGCCTTGTACTAGGCCCATCTGCTGCTGTCCCCACAGGGATGCCAGATGAGCAGAGGGAAGGGCTCCAGGAAGAACTGATCGACAGCATCCTGCAGGTTTTACAGCGCAACCCCCAGCTGCACTACTACCAGGGCTACCATGACATTGTGGTGACTTTTCTGCTGGTCGTGGGGGAGAGACTGGCGACTGCTCTCGTGGAAAAGCTTTCGACCCACCACCTCAGGTACTTCAGCTGGGCACGCGTGGCGCGTCTCCTGCAGAGTGGGGTGACGAGGAGCTTCCTGCCTGCCTTCCCTGTCAGAAGCCGCATGTTGTGGAGAAGCCTTTCCTGCCATTCACATAGGGAAGAGTCTGGAAATGCAGGGAAAACAAAGAAGCGCCTAGAGCCTGAAAAGCAAAGCGTGAATAGACTGGCTGCTTTTAGCCGACAGTGCTAACAAGGCCTGGGGTGCTGTGAAACTGCAGTGGTAATGACATGAAAGCACATGCCGAGGGGAAAGCTGACCTGAGGGCTGGTTGTTGTCGTGTCATCGTGGAATGCACTGCCTCTGTAAATGAAAAACCCACTTCATAGCCCCTCCTGTGACCGCCTGTTCCATTGTCACTTCCATGGCTGCCCCCAGGGTGGCCTAACACAATGGCTCACTTTTCATACGGTGCAATAGGCTGTCTTGGACCTGCTTAGCGGTGAGCATGGCCAGGTACCGTGGGAGAATCTGAGTCTGAGTGAGTTGTGTGTGTCAGCCAGGCTGGAAGTCAGCCTCTGGCCAATAGGACTGGTTTTGAAGGGAGTCTTCTCCAGTCCCCCAGTGGGGAGCTGTTGGCTACAACCCTTGGCACTGGGAAGGCATTAGGCTTGTGCTAACGTTATTTTCCTAACTCTGGGCCTATCTGCACTCAGGCGTGCACGGACGTAGCAAAAGGTGTGAATAAAATCAGTGCTGTAATTTCGGTGCAAGGTTGTGTGTAGACCAGCGGTTAGTTCTTACTGCTAGCGGTAGGTGGCTGTTGCAGGGAAGAGAGTGTGCTAGGGCAGAGTCCCTGGCTCTTTTCTGACTCCTTGTTGTGAGGCTGCATCTCAGGAAGGGGTGGGATGCAACAGGGTCAGAACTCCCTGAGATGCAGTTGTAGGGACACCCCCACCCCAGGGGTAAATTAGGTTGCAAGTGTGTCTTAACTTCTGACTTGCTCTGTGTGTTGTGCACCCGCAGTGGTGAATGGGACCGCAATGACACTGTTACCTGATGGAGCTTATGTTTGTCTTGTGACAGGGATTTTATGGACCCAACAATGGACAACACCAAGCACATTTTAAATTACCTGATGCCCATTATAGACCAGGTGAACCCTGAACTCCATGACTTCATGCAAAGGTACGTCAAGATTCACCAAACCTTTCCCTTTCTCACGGGGTTCATCGGCAGCTCCCAGCCAAGCCCTGCCGTTCTCGTGGTGTTATTCCAAGGCACTGTGTGGCTCAACTGGGTCAGGACCTGCAGAGAACAGCGGTGCTTTCCTCAGAATGGAGCTGCGGCCCCACCGCTGATAAATGAGGAAACCCTTGTGGCCCTTGGTTTTCCCGCAGCCCCTTGCTTTTGAAGCCATTACACTGTGTCTTGAGGGCTGGGTCATACTGTAACATCACCACCCTGGCCCCTTATCATCTGTGCTTGCATGACAAAATGATTAGCAGCTGGTGTGGGACACAGTTCTAATTAGTCAGTTCTGATTGCCTCATTTGTATAGTTCAGTGGGCGCTGAGACATCTTCCCCTGGGGGCCTTCTGCAGTTTATCATTGGCCCTGAGGATAATTGGGGCACCTTTCAAAAATGGCAGTGGGTTGAAATCAAGGGAAAGGGGAGGACCTATCCAGAGAAAAGCAGAGGTGGGAAACTTCTGTTCAGAGTCCCTTGCCCACTAGACCCATGGCTGCGCTGTTCATTGTGCTAGCAATATCTCTAGTGATGTTGGCGGCAGACTCCCAGGGGCTGGTAACTCTTCAGAGTGGGGAGCCCTGCTGGCAGGTTTGTAACGCATACCGTGCAGTTTGCTATACGTGAGTGCAGCACACATCACTCTCTTTAAAACCCTCCTGAAGAGAGACTCCAGGGTCAAACTCCCGACCTTTGTGATGGAACTGTGTCCTCTCTGAATGAACCGCTTCCAGGCGGTGGGGATCTGGGAACTGAGGGAATCCTCGGCTACAGGTGACATTCCAAGATGCACCTGAGTGTATGTGATGCAGTCACTGTGCGTTTCCATGTCTGTCGGGGGGAGAGGGGCAGTTATAATAGTGGGCTGGGCCCTAACCTCTCATCACTGATGGCCAATGGCCCGTCCCTTACCCGAAATGGAGGAACCCCTGGCATTAAGGGATCACCAGAAGGTACTTTTATCCACGCTGGAGAGGTGTGGCCGAGGAGATTCTGGTAGCAGGTGAGCTGTCTAATTGGATGTCTTCTATTTGCACAGTGCTGAAGTGGGGACCATCTTTGCACTCAGTTGGTTGATCACCTGGTTTGGGCATGTCCTGGCTGACTTCCGACATGTGGTGCGATTGTATGACTTCTTCCTGGCATGTCACCCGCTGATGCCCATTTACTTTGCTGCTGTGGTCGGTATCCTGTTGTGATTTTGTAAATGAATGAAACCAGTGTGTACCATTAACAGTTACCCAGATGGGGCTAGTGAATTCAGCATTGGCTTCTAACCCTGTTCCATCTAGAGTGTCAGGTGTACCTAAAGCCCTTTCCGAGGGAATGGGGTTTAGTGACTTCAGCGTGTTTTTAGAGAAGAACATCACATGTCCCACTGCCCCGATCTCTGAACCCTGGGAGTGGAATCCCAGCTGTATTCACCTTCCTGCTATTCCCATACAGGGCAGTTGACATGTCTGCACTGTGTGGCTAAGAGGGAGGCAGGACATACAGCAAGCTTAAGCCTGTTGTTTCATACTACAGCAGTGCGTGAATGTGTTGGGCAGACCCTGGGTGCAATACTGACTGGAATTCTTTTCCTTGGCATTGTCACTGCAATTTGAGATGGAGACTTACCAAGGCATTATTTACAGTAAGGGCTTGGTTGCAAGCAGGTTTCTGATTTGTGTCCATGTGCCATTTATCTGAGCGCCACCTAAACAAATGTCGCTTCCAAAGCAGTTTCACCCCAGGGTGCCTTGTTCAGATATTGACTGGGCCTGGCTCAGGAGTCTTGGACTGCTCCCACAGCCACAGCACCTCCGGCAGGAGCTTTTCATGGCTTCAGAGCAGCTGGGGGAACTTACTAGGTCTCCTATGCACCTGCAGGCTGGATCCTGGAATTCATTAAGAATCGGGGGGTCCCTTTTCATGGCAGGCCGAGTTCCTTCCAGGCCCTAGAGGTGGCAGTCATGAATGAAAACAGAAAGGGTGCCATCCTACCCCAGAGCACTGAGCTGCTCTTCCTTCCCTTTGCAGATAGTGCTATATCGGGAGCAGGAGGTTCTGGACTGCGAATGCGACATGGCCTCTGTCCACCATCTCTTGTCCCAGATCCCACAGGACCTTCCCTACGAGACCCTGATTAGCAGAGCTGGGGATCTCTTCGTCCAGTTTCCTCCGTCGGAGCTTGCCAGGAAGGCAGCACAGCAGCGTGCTGAGAGGTGAGTTTCCCTGTGCGACTCCCAGCACGCAGCATTAGCGCAGCGCAGGAGGGAAGCCCAGTGTCCATCTCAGAAAGTGCTCGCAGGAATGGAGTATGACGAGGATCAGAGCGTGTGCTTTAAATCCTCGTGCTTCTGACCTGGGCAGGCAGAATGTTCCATTTCACCTGGTCACAGCTCTTTAAAAGAAAGCCAAGCCAAGCCATACAGGTTGGCTCATTCCAACAGGCTCTGCCTTTCCCTCTTCTGCACAAACTCCCTGACAGCTTCCTCGCTCCCTTGGCACTCCCTATGCTGCCCCCTCTCTGCTGGATCCATTCCTTCTGTGGGCTGGGATTCATCGTCTTGGGGTCCAAAAGCCCAAGCTCCTCTCTGCCATTTGGTCCCCACACAAATCTAAACCCCGTAGCAGTTGGTCGGGATAACAGAGCTTTGTTTGAATGTGGTATTAAGATGATACTCTCACTTTGTTGGATGAACTGTTCTTGGGGCTGGTGGCTACAACACCAGCAGAACAGTACTTAAGGGCTGACTAACATAAGAACGGCATTACTGGGTCAGACCAAAGGTCCGTCTAGCCCAGTATCCTGTATGGTGGGCAATACCAGGTGTCCTAGAGGGAATGAACAGAACAGGTACTCCCCTGTTGCCCATTCCCAGCTTCTGGCAAACAGAGGCTAGGGACACCATCCCTGCCCATCCTGGCTTAGAGCCATTGAGGGACCTATCCTCCATGAACTATTTTAAAGTGTTAGCAATGCTCTGTTAATGCCTAATCAAACCAGCAAAGCTGAAAGGGCCTCACTACTCCAGAGTGCTGCTTTTCCATGACAAACGTCTCTTTCAGGTTTTGTTTGGAACACCGGTTTCCATCCTTTGCAGTCACTTGCCCTCTGGCTTTGTCCCCGTGGCATTGGCAGTAACGTGTGGAGCAGTGGTTTTTACCAACATTTCTCTTTGCACTTCAGTTAGTTGCTTTGGGGACAGTGTAGGGCCGCGGTCCCCTGCTCCTGCATCGCTCTCGTTCAGCCGGCAGAGTGGAGTGTGCTGAGGAATGCTCATCCTGCTTGGAGCAGTTTTCTGTGGGCCAAGAGTGTCTGGGTGCAGAAGGACCCATTCAGCTCCTTTTCTCTTCACTTGCAGGACCGCTGCTTCCACCTTTAAAGACTTTGAGTTGGCTTCAGCCCAGCAGAGACCAGACACTGTGCTGCGGCAACGCTTCAGGGACCGGCTCCGAGTGGAGGAACGGACAAAATCCATCTTGACAAAACCAAGGACCAACCGCTTTGTCAAGCTGGCAGTGATGGGGCTGACAGTGGCACTGGGGGCAGCTGCTCTTGCCGTGGTGAAGAGTGCACTAGAATGGGCACCCAAGTTCGAACTGCAGATTTTCCCCTGATGGAGGGAGAATGGTGCCCTGCCACTTTAAAGATCACGTCCTGCCATGGCAGGAGAGGACGGTGTTTCCTTTATTGAAAGGACTTGTCTAAAGATGACTGGTGTCGAGAATTTTCTAGTCCTGCTGCCCTCCTTAACACGACTTGCCTTTGTCTCCGAGGCGGAGGGGGACTGGCCCAGCAGCAGTGCTCACCATGTGAGGATGCTCACCTTGTTCTCGCCTCCCTGAGCAGCAAGGAAACTCCTCCTCTCTTACTCTGAGGAATTAGAAGCGAACACTTCCTGAGCTGACAATGCCTGGAACAGCCTGGCAGGTCAGGTTTCACACCCAGTGGCTGGACACCTGCAGGGCTGCGTGTGTGTCGGTCTCTTGAAGCACTCTGACGTTCTCTCCCCAGAGTGTAATGGGAGAGGAAACGACTAAATATTTTCAGGTAGATGAGCGGTCACATCTGCACGAGGAGTCAGTCTGGGAACTGAGTGGGTTGTAGGGGAGGTTAGACTCCTGACGAATGGTGTAAGTAGCTTTCTGGTTCCCATAGCATCCCTTTCTGCCCTCCCCCCGAGCACTCCGCTTTCTGCAGAGTCCTGGACTTACCAACACTTGGATCGTTTTCTTGCTCTGCAGGCAATGTTTTAGTAGAGCAGAGCCCTCTTCACAAATTCCTCTCATGGGAATAGACCCCCTAGACTAACATTAGGGTTCAAGGGTGTCACTACTGTATAACTGCATGAGTTAAGTTAGTGTCCTAATCTCCCCAGTCTGGTATGTTTACAGGCGGGAACATCTATGGGCTTTTTCTGGTCTGCTGGAGAGAGGTCAGCTCTCAGCCAGCCACACCAACTTGACTGGTGGTAAGCGTAGTCTGTTCTTTCAGTTCAGCAAGATAAGGCAGGGCTGAGTGTGAATTATTTGCCCCAGGTGTGAACAGTTACTTGCCAGACCACACCAGCTCCTGTTACTACACCTAGAGAAGCCATTTCAATTGCTAACTTTTAAACACAGCCTTTAAAATAAAAAAATGCTTTCCACCATGCAAAATAGCTTACGGCAGGACAGAAGCCATTGCCCCTGGAAGCCCCTTTAAAATGTCTCGCCAAATAACTGTTCAGACTTTCACGTCAACCCTTAAAATGCTGCAGGTCAGTGACTTTTCCAGAAATTGACCCCAGGTGCCTAGAGCCCAGCCGCTCACCAGATCTGCTGCGAGCTTCTCCTCCTCCCAGCCCCAAAACCTCCAAGCACCTAGTACTGTCCGACTTAAACTAAGCCAATAGACACTACACATCTCTACCTCCTCCTCCTCCACTGCTGCTAACCCCTCCCACAAGTGCCCTTACCCTGCCCCACTGCTTCCCAGGTGACTGACTGTCCCCTGCTGCATCCCACCCAATGCCATCTGTCCCTGTTTCCAGCAGTTACACACCTGGAAATTAGGTGTTGGTTGAAGAGTTAAGGAAATCTGAATATACTAGAAGCTTTGTGCCCTGCAGTAATCTAGAGCCTTTTATTCATTCTTAATACAGTCAATTTTATATCTGAGTTACTCTGACTGTGCTCTCAGTCCCGAAGGCACCATGCCCTTCAGAACTGCAGCGTAAGGAAGTAATAGTGCCTAGATAACAGCAGTGCGCACCTTATACAAGCATAACTTTATCGGATGGGAGCAGGGCTCTGAGCAAACAAATTGCCCTTTGCTTCTGCAGTGGCTGATGTCTGTGGTATGTTTTGATTCAAGAAACAAAAAAGCAAGGAGGAAATTTGCACCATTCCCCTTTCTGTTGTTGGCCCCTCTTTGAGGGCACCTTGCTTTCTAGTGACATCTGGCTAGTCACTGATCAAGCACTCACTCCTCCCCTTGGCCAGCATGTCTTCTAACATGCTGCATGTGTAAAAGGTATTGTCAATTTTTGGCTGCAGGGGAGTGGGCTGCCCAACCAATGGGAAGTTGTTGGTGGCATCCTCTGCGTTGCAATAAATGGAGTTGGGGGTATGGGAAGAGCTGTTAAATGAAGCACTTTAATTTAAAAAAAAAAAAAAAAAAACAAAACAACTTCTAGAAGAGGAGGGCGCTCT